TGACAGGCTTTTCAAAGCACTCTAGTACTAGCAAACCACATTATTTATTAGCTGCTAAACCAGACAACAACTTGAATTAAAACCAACTGTTTCCTTAGTAGCACTTCTGAATGAGTTCTTGGCGCCCCTGTAGATCACAAGCATGCTCATCCCATGTTAGGACTGAAGGTTAGTAAAATGGAATTCTATTCTTCCTGCTAAATACCCCCAAAAGTAATAAATTGCAACTAATTATTTTGAACTAGCTGAAAGACAAAGAATACCAAACCTAGTAAATGTGTTAAGTCTCTGAAATATGTACTGAAATATTAGCTGAAGTTGTTCTTTGTTTAAGCTTATTTTCTGCTTTTATTATGTGGTCCCCGGTTAAGTCAGCAGCTGGAATGAATTTTCTCTGGCAGTCTGAATGGTTACAGGTATCTTTCATGATGTGGTTTCTTTCATATTAATTGTCACTTCCTGGTAATATCCTACCTCATTTTTTATTTTAACTACCATTTATACACCATTTAGCCCACTTCATTTTCAAGTTTTTGGTGTTTATTACCATAAATAGTATTAAGTGGCTTTCTGTTGCTCAACCACACTGAGGTCCTCTTTACTTTTTACCCCTCTCTAACCAATGATTCTAGGAATTCTGAGAACAATAACACATCCTTTTCAGAAGATGAGGTGTATGGAAAGAAGTTGCAGCTATTATTGATTCAGCAGCTGTGACATTGTTTCCTTTCCTTACCTTTTGTCTGCTCTGGGAAGGGACTCTCATGGCTTGAATTCTTTGGATGGTTAACATTTTAGTCGTCCTTCAGAGGAGGTGTAACTTTTCTTCCTCATTAATAGCTGTGCCTTCTCTAGAGAGACAACAATGTAACCTCTCCACAGAGGCACTGGCTCCTTCAAGTACATTTGGGCTAGTCCCTGCCTGAAGCCACCTCTTCCCTCTGATTCTTTTTCTCTCAACCATGGAGAGATTTCTTAACTTTTGGCCTGACTTCTCCCTAACAAGAAGTCATTCCATAAACAGTAGAGTCATCTGTTAACCTAAGGTAAGGCTGTTTGAATGGTAACTAGTACAACTAGTGCTTAAACTTCACTTCTTTTTTTCTCCTTGCATTTTGAAGGAGATTTCTTTCCCCACTGTTTGGCCACAGAGTGGATCCTGTAGTTTCACTGGTTATGTGCCAAAGCAAAGTGTTTTCTGTCCTACCTGCATTCTTACAGAGTGGAAAGCAGAGCTGGGTCTGCATGAGAGTATGGTTTGATTCAGACCTATCTCCCTCCATCCCTCCAGCTGCAGTGGTAGGTTAATCTTCAGCAGCATGAAGTCCTCCAGGTATCTCTGCTCTGAAATCCTGTTTTAAAAGTAGCTGTACTTGAATTGCTGGACCCCCAGCAGCAAAGGTGAACTCACACAAAGAAAGGCTTAATTTAGGATTTCTGGGCTTGCCCTTCCCTTCTTCCCTCTCAGTCTCCTTTAAAGGAATTTTATTGAACAAAGGGGAAATGTTTCTAGAGGAGACTTAATGAGAAGGGGGCTAATGAGCCTGAGTCATCTTTTGTAGCTGACAAATGTGTCCATTTAAGACACTACTCATGGCTTAAACATTGTTCACTCCCATTTTGTAAATGCATGAGCAGGGTTGTGGTTTGGCATCCGAGACCCACAATTTGATGTAACATTTCAGAATCATGACATTCACTTTGTGTGGGGGGTTGTTCAGGCAGCTGATCAACAGCACCTCCACCTTAAGCACTGAAGGCTGCTATTATGTTCTCTGAAAGACTTGTAAGACTGGACACTTTAACAGAATAAAAGTTTTACTTTTTCATTTGCATTTTACTTTTATGTCTGCTTTCTTTTAAGTTTTCTATATGCAAAGGCACTTGGTTTTCCATGATCTTGCCTTTCAGAAGACATGTTAATAATTCCAGCTATTGTGTAGAATTGTTGGGGTTTTTTTACTCATTGCATGAGTCTTTGTCCATTGTAATGTTCCTTTATGAATCAGCAAAAAGTAGATGCACAGCAAGAGGTCCTGTTCAGGGACAAGCCTGGACTGCCTTACATATTTCACGATCACTTTAACAAATGGCTGAAACAGTTCATGTTGCTTAATGTAGGATACTTTGAGTGTTATCTGAAGTCCCTTAGAAGCTCAGTTGGGTTTTCAAAATGCATATTGTGCTCCCCTTCCCTAGGAAAGGGACAGGGATTGAAGTCAATGGAGAAAACTGCCTGTTGCCATAAAAACTGTCTTCAGCCAGCTACTGGTAACAAATTACTTAAGAGTGTTTCCTAGCTGTCTGCTTACCCCCACGCACTACTTCAACTGAAAATGCTGGCAGAGAGCGTCTTTCCTGATTGAGCCTGTCCCTGATGTGGTACAGAGAATCAGCCTTTAACTTTCAAAGGCAGTTGTGAGTTTCTGTGCAGCTCATTGACTGTATGGAAAGGTATGTCTCTTGTGTTTTGGCTTCCCTTGTTTCCTTTGTCTGAGACTGCTTGACCACAGTGACACTGACCCTTCTTGAGGGACAGAAAATGTGAGCAGGCTGTGAGATGTGAGAAGGTGGTGGTCTGTGATGCTGCTTATCAGCACTGATGGGTTTTAATGAAATGCTTGACAGGACTATACCGAGAAATGAAAGGACAAAATGCCCTTTGTCATCTAAGGCTCATTTGGACCTCAGCTCCTTTTGGTAAAGGATTTACCACCTCTTTGAATAGCTGAGCAAAAGGAAAGAATGAAAGGTATCATCACAGAAAACTGGGGTTTTTTTGCAGGACTTCAATACAGTGATGGGGAAGGAATACAGGGGTGAAAAACTGATCTGTTGTTGTTGCAAAAAGACTTTTAACCCTGGTAATTCCAAATTTTCTATATAGCTTACTAAAAAGCATAGAGTAAAGATGCAATAGGGGCAGCTGGAACTGTATTTGGGTTTGTTCTGGTAAAGCCCTCTATTCCTATTCACCATAAGCTTTTTTTACATTGCTGACTTTTATAAGTAGCTGTCTTGGTTTTACCTGTGGATGAAAGTGAGAATTCTCTTGGTGGAAAATTACTGCATTTCTGAGGCTTCTGATAACGTGAAGGAAATGACTGCCATTTCAGGGAAAACAAAAGCATTCAAGTATCTACGCAATTTTAAATCCTGATAAGCTATTTAACACAATTAAATACTAATCATAGTATCCTGTGCTCCTTGTTTCTCATTTAGTGTTCTGCCCCTTGTTGCCAATCGTATCAAAGGCTTCAGGAGAGGTGAGAAGAGACTTAACTGAAACTTCTCACCTTATAATCCTGGCAGCTCCAACAGCAGCAGTTTCAGTGAGAGTGCTGAGCTGCCTGAACTGGCAAGCTGGCTTGGCTCCAAGTGGTGTCAATAGGAACACTTATTGAGGAGGAAATTAAGGTAATTGTGCCAGTTAAAAGGGCATTTGGAACACTTGGGCTTTGCTGCAGGGTTGCCCATGTTCCGTGTGTCACTGGCTCCTGTACCTTTCATATAGACATGGGATGGGCTTTGTCAGCCTCAAATGGAGTTTGCTTGAAGTGCAGTTTTCTTGTGGAGCTGGCAGGAGAAAATGTTTAACCAGTCTGCAAAAGAGCTCTCCAAGGGGAAGGAAAAAGGGGCCATTTCCTAGTTTTGTCCAAGAATTTTCTACCTTCCTTATTTAAACTTACTGGAAGAGAAGATATTTACAAAGGTGACATGCTTCGTTTTGACTTTTTTTTGGCATTATATGGCGGGGGTGGTTTTCCTCTTGCTGAAAATGTAATTCTGAGCCTCAAAATAGGAACATGTCTGGAGCGGTGTGAAGATCTGGAGGACTCCTAAGGACAAACACTGATGAGTGCTTCTCTAGCTGAGATGGGTTGCCTCTCCTGGTGTATGTAGTCGGTTGTTTTCTGCTACTTGCTGCATTGTGTGCTGCAATCTGCTGTTAGACTTGCTCAAAGCAATCCGTAGAACAGGAAAGCTGTGGTTGTCACACATTTGAGCTAAATCAGCTTCTGAAGTCATCATGTGTGTAAGTTGGGGAGTGGAGAAGATGACATGCTAAATGGCTGCAAAAAATGCCAGGGCATGAGAAGTACATGACGTTATGAATGACAAAGGTAATGCAGAGGGACTGAGGAGTGGCATGGGAGTGTGTGTAGAAGGCATGTTTCTCCAGGGTTGCTACATCCCAGTGTGGGGCGAGGTGGGTGCTCACCAGACTGACTTACAGGCAAGGTTCTTTTCCACTGGTTACATGTCTTCCTTAAAAACCATTTTGGCTCCATCAGTTGGTGGCAGTCTGTTAACAGGAAGGAGGAACTACTTGATTATGTTTTTGAGTGTTGCTGCTTTGGAAGCTGTTTGTTTCCTTTCCACGTTTGTAGCCCAGTGATCAAAGTCCCTGGCAAAATGTAGCCTTTTAAACTACCCAATTCATACCCTCTTGTGTGCAGAGAAAAGCTTGGAAACAAGCTGTGAATGCTCAAAACCAGAGCTTTTCCAGTGAAAACACTGAATTCCCCTTCTGGGGTGTGTGTGTGAAGGAAAAATACTTGACCAAGATATTGAGGCATTTTTATCTGGAGTTGATACCCTCACAGAATAGAGAACTTCATTTTTTTCAAGCAGCATCTCTAAGATGGATTTGCAGTCGCTTGCAAATATATTTGGAAGTAAACACCTTCCCATGTGCATTTTGTGCTCCATTTTGCCAGGTTTTCTTCTGGCGAGGCGAGTGATGCCTAAAACTGTCCCCATGATGTTATTTTATTGTGGAGTGCCGCTTAAAAGGATGCTTTTTGGGTTTCCTGCAAAAGCCAAAGATACTTTTCTCTGGAGAGAAAAACTTTCGCCATGGATTCCTGTGCCATGGGAAGGATGTGTTGGTGGGGAGCGCCACCGCTGGGCTGGCTTTTTAAACCTGACTTCTGCCTTTTCTCTCTCTGCTTTGAGCTGTGGCTTTGGGGTTACTGATTTACATGCACATTTGGAGCTGCAGGAGAATGAACTGAGCAAGTGAATGTGTAAATGGCCAAAGAGTGGCTGTGAGTGAAGATAGCAGAGATATTCTCTGTGAGTGCTGCCAAACCCTCAGTCAGAGCTCTTTAGCTTTAACACCCTTCGGGCTGACGCTTGTCATCTCTTGGCTTGCTGGAATCCCTCTTAGGTGAGCATGCTGAAGCGCAGGCAGGACTCGCTGACTGAGCAAAAAAGGACTCTGTAAGAAGCCTGAATTGCTACTTTAAACGTGTTTAAAACCTTTAACTCTTTTCGTCCCACTTGAATCTTATTTTACCTCCCTTATGTTATTTTACCACTGCATTTACCATTGTAACTGCTCTGTTTTTTAAATGATTCCCCTTTGGAGTTAAGTGAATCAAGTTTGTGATTGCACCAGGGCAAAATTTGCTTGTGCTTTGTGTCAGCACCAAGAGCCAAAGCAAAACTGCAGCCCCAAACATCCCCACCAGGAACAGTCGGACATGGGACAGAATTCCTTGAGAGGCAGCTCCGCTGGCTGCGCAACAGCCTGGCTGCCCAGTGCTTGCTTTTATCACATGCTGGGACAAGGATCACGTGAAGAGGCGGGGAGTCAGCCCTGCAGAGCCTGGTGGTATTGTGGTCTGCTGGTGGGATCCTGGGAGCCTCTGCCCCTGATGGCATTTGTAAGCCAGCATCAGATCCAAAAGGTAAGGAACTGCACCCTGGGGAAGGAGGGTGTCTGTAGCGCAGACAGGTGACAATACTTGGAAGATAATGGTCACCACTAGTTAACCTGTGGTCAGGTCTAGCAAAGATCTGCTTTACAAACACTTTTCTTCCCAGCTTCTTGCATTACATCCATTTTGAGTGTGTGAGGACCCTGCCATGGACACAAACTCTTCCAGAGGGCAGCTTGTCCCACAGAGGTCTTGGAGGAATTTCTCTTGTGCCCTGCTGTCTCTGCTGCTCAGCTCTCAGCCGTGAACTCGAAATCTGCCTGTCAAAGGATAATCTCTAGGGTATTCTATATAAAGAAACAGTAGTGCCAACAGAGTTCACTTCATTTGTAAGGCACTGTGTAGTCAACCATGAGAAATTACCCAGGGATTATTCCCTTAGAGAAAACAATGCTTTCCAGCCTGTAAAGGAATCTCTCTTTTATTTGGCATACAGGTATGACTGCTCTGTTCGTGCTAGCAGGTGTTGTAATTAAATAGTTGCTGGCTGCACATCTTAAACCACAATGGCTCTAGCCATGATAACTTCCCTGCTCTGTGAACTGAGGAGCCAAGATACGTTGTGCTTAACTGTATAGAATCTGAGCCTGGTAATGAACAATCTTTTTTACAATAGAAACCCCTCCTGAAACTGAAAAGTATGTTGTGCAGCTGCAGAGCTGAAGCTGGGTTGGTTTTCACACTGAGCTGAGGCACAGCAAAGAGACAGAACTGTTTTCTCTTGCTCTGTGCTGCTCCTCCAGAATGCTCGGGAGGAAAGTAGTCACCCCATCTCTTCCAGTTCCATGAGGATGGCTTCCTTGTCCTAGAGCGTTTTTTCACCGCAGAGGAGTGTGACAGCATGAGGAGCCAGATTCAGAGAATCATAGCAGAGATGGAAGTGCCACCGCACTGCCGCACTGAGTTCTCCACCAAGGAAAAGGAGCAGCTCCAGGCACAGGTACCAAGAAGGGCAGGGCAGTCCCCATTGGAGCACTGGAAAAAAAAAGAAGGGAAAAGGCAAACTGCTGCTCAGGATTCACTCTGGGGGAACAGGACTCCTTCTTCTAACTGAATGTAACACTGGGGGAGGCATTTGCTCTCCTGATTTCTATTTGGTGGTGAACTTACTGGATGGCAAAGGAGGGGAGGATGTGTGCTTCCAGCCCTCCCAACTACTGCCCCTGTAGCCACATGCAGCTCTCACAGATCACTTTGTACTTGTTTTGCTGACAGGAAATAGGTTCTTTTCCAGGCAGCCAGCAAAAGAAAAACAAGGGTAGCCTCAATGTGAGAGGTTCATGTAAAGTCCTAATCAATGCCAAGACATTTAGCATTGTGGTAAGCCTTTTTATGAGTGGTTTTATTGACTGTGCTTTGTTTATGCTGCGTCTTGATGGGATAAAGATGCAGGTGAGTATAAACACTTTGATCGAAGGCTCGTATGTGTTTGTACAAGAACAGTATCTTTACTGGGCTCTTATCCCTGGCAGGGTAGCTCGGATTATTTCCTAACCAGTGGAGACAAGATTAGATTCTTCTTTGAGAAAGGTGTTTTGGATGAGAGAGGTAAGCTCTGTTAGCCACAGCGAGGGAACACAAGTTGGAGTGAGGGCTTGGGGCCTGTTTCCAGCTCTAGGGATGATTTCTGCTCTGCAAACAATGTTAAATTCTACTTTTGTTTCATAGGTAACTTTCTGATTCCAAAGGAGAAATCTGTCAGCAAGATTGGCCATGGTATGTTTAAAGGATGGGGTTCTGAGAGGGACAGGGAAGAGGGAAGTGGTTTTCAGGTATAAGGCTTTCATAATAATAACCCTGGCCATCTAAGTTAAAACCTTTCTGAGCAGGGAAGTGACTTCCTCCCTCTTCTGTTGCTTTGTGCCTCCTGGGAACAACTGCATCAAACACCACAAACCTCACCTCCCTCTTGCCATTGTGGCCACGCAGCTCCTGTCTTTGCAACCCAGGGCTGGTTTCCTCTGGGTTTCTGTGTTAAATTCTCCAGTGTGATTTCTGCACGTCACTCAGCTTTTCCTCACATCACTCTGTCACTATCTCTGTAGTTCTCTGTGTTGCCCCTCACTCTCTGCTGTCAAAAGAAATATCCAGTTATGATCCTTTTCAGAACTCTTTAAAGAGGTTTTTCAGCTGTGCATAGCTCAGGGTCACTGACACGTGAAAGTCTGGACTTCAGCCCCTGTCTCTTTTATGTAAGACATTGCTCTAAAAGATTTACTAAGACTGTCACATTCAGTACAGATCAAACTGTCTTCTATGTCCTGTGCAGTAGTGGGTTGTCAATGCTGAAGCTGTCCTCCTTCCTTCGGTGTCACCAGAACCTTTCCTTCACCCTTACTGGTTTCAGTTTAACCTGTTTCCTCTCTCCCTACTACTGAACTTGTGTTCTGATCCCTTTTTGTTTTCAAACAGTACAGGGAAAATGAGAGTAGAATTCACGCATCTCCTAATGCATGAACTTTGTTCAGATTAAACGTGACTGAACTTGGAAGTTCAGTACTGAGAGTTCTTGGTTCTTTGGTTTTCTCAGAAAAAAACACTTCCCTTCCCAGCCCCTGCCATTCTCTTAGACTTCAGCTTTTCCCCAGGGGAACTGGGAACAACTGTAGATGCTTGCTGACTCAGCAATTTAACCATTCAAAAGGCTTCTCTAGACTTATTTTCTGTAATGACTGCATTTGATTGAGTCCGGCCTCATCCCTTGCTCACGAGCAGCCCCTGCTGGACCCACTTGTGTGTTCTTGTGGCAAATGCAATCGGGATGAGGTGGAGGCATGATCCCAAGTTTTTGCTTTATGGTTTTGTCACCTGTAGCTGTTGCAAACAGCTCTGACCTATGGGCTACAAGGGTTAAAGGGCATGAAAGCTGAGCCTTAGCTCTTTTTTTATAGTAATGACTTTCTTTGGTAGGTTTTAAGAACTGTGTTTTTTAAAGGGCGAATTCACCCTCAGGGTCATATATACTGATTGTCATGTTAGAATTTGTATAATATAATGCTTAATCACGTAACATTCAGGTTTTATTCACAGCTGTATACTATTCTTACATGGCTGCAGTTTGTGGCCAGTGAGTGATGATGTTTTTGGCCTTTAAAGTAGATTGTAGAACTCTACAAGTGTCATACCACCTTAGGTGTGATAAGCCATGTACACCAATTCTTAGGAGGGATGAAAGTTGCTGGCTGCACTTTATCTCGCTTGGCTGTCAGCCCTGCAAGTCCTCCACTGTGAGCTGCCAAGTCCCTTCAGTTAATGAAATCTTCAGTCTGAGCCTTTTATTTCCCCTCAGCTTTACATGCTTATGATCCCGTCTTCAAGCAAGTCACCCACTCCTCCAAGGTGCAGGTGAGCTGTTACTGTTTCCTAGAATGGTCTCTGTGTGAATAAATTATGGAGCAGTGAATTTTCTTGACTCCCAAGGATAGTAATGTTGTCTGTGAAAGAAAATGTAAGTATCTTCAAAGAAGAAGGCTTTAAAGTGTGCAGGAAACAGCAAATGTAAATCTTGGAAAGTTTTCTTGCAGGAATTGGGAAGAAAATTAGGCCTTGAGAGACCAGTAGTTGTGCAAAGCATGTATATCTTCAAGGTACAGTAATTCAAGTTGTCTTGTCACTCAAGAAATAAGTCCCTGTTAGGTGGGGAGCTGTGAAACTCTTCACACATCACCTTTCTTTCCTTGCAGCAACCTGGCATTGGTGGTGAAGGTAAGACTTGTATTGTCTCTATATCACACTGAAGATAATACTGCTTTAGGAAAGGAAAATCACTAGGAAAAATGCTCAGAATCAGGCTTAAGCCTGTGAGGTTTGTGGTCCAAATCTTCTTACAATGATTAAAAAGCATCCCTGTTTTACAGAAATGTTTCCACATCATATGCAACTTGAACAAAGAGCTACTTTTATGTTTCCAGCAGGCTGAAAAGTGGTATTTCTATGACAGACTTAATGTGTATGATAGATGGGTGGGCAGGGTAGGTCAAGAATTCAGGGAGATCAAGCCTGTTGTCCTTCTAATGGCACTGAATTCCTCAGGCATTAAAGGACTCCAATGCCTGTCTCTTGTTGCAGTGACACCACACCAGGATGCCACCTTCCTGTACACAGAGCCCCTGGGCAGGATCCTGGGGTTCTGGATCGCCCTGGAGGATGCCACGCAGGAGAATGGATGCCTGTGGTTCATTCCTGGCTCTCACACCAGTAAGAGTTGTAGCGTTTGGTGTGTGCTGTGAAACACATGCCATCTCCTTGCTGAAGAGTGGAGGGTGACACAGACTGTGTTGTGTTCTCTGCATTGCACAGTGACTGCAGAAGCACATTATGTCCTTGTTTGTTGAAAGAACAACTTTATTTATTACAAAGATCTCCTCCTGTGCTGTTGCCAAATCTACAGCCACGTTTTGCAGCAGGATATGACCTGCTTCACTTTGCTCTTGGCCGCTAGTCCACCAGATGAGTCTAATAGAACAATACTTTTTTTAATCAAAAAAAGGTGCTGCACATGCCTGACACTATGTTTAGTTTTAAATTGATATCTAGCCTAGAAACAAAGAAACCAGGGCACTGGGAAAGGAAGGACAGTCATCCTGATCGTCTATTTAAGCCAGAATTGGTAAAGATGAGGCCCATTAAAACTGCTCCTGTATCTTTTCACCTACCAGGCCACTGTATGTTAAGACTTTAATGTAAAGAAGGTCTTAACCTACTGGGCTCTTTTCCCCTGTAGTGAAACAGGTCATTGCAGTATGTTGGTGCTCTGCCCTCAGTTTTGATTGTAGTTCATCAAGTTTGATCTGGACTGCAAATGGTAATAATCTTCCTTTTGCCTTCCACAGTAGGGTTACACTGAGAAATCATTCTTTCCACTCTATCCCCCCTTACAAAACTGTTTAGTTCTTACAGCTCTATATAATGGGAATAAAAATGCTCTTACACACACAACTGTCAAATACTGGTCTGAATTTCAGTGAACAAGGAAAGCCTTCAAGTCTATACAAGGATCACTTGGACACAATCCCAGTCATTGGAGAACAGTGTCCTAGGGGAACACACACAAAACCAGACAGCACAGAATCCCGTACTGGTGGTTGTGACTGATGGTTGTTGCTCTGTGTGTGTGTAACCACTATTGGATTACAAGCAGAGTTTTCTGTTTTTCACTGCCTCTAGGGCACACTAATGAGCTTTAAACTGGTGCTCACCTAAGCATTTACTCAGTAAGTGTAATCATAGTGCTCTTAATCTTAAGGTACTCCTCCCTCATAAATTCTGGAGTCAGCTGCGTTCTGATTGCTATTTATGCTGTTACAGAAAGGAGAAATGGACAAAAGGTTAGCTTTGCTGAAGTGTATAACTATTTATGTTCTCAAAGGGCTGTTTTGTAATGTACAGAAAGAGCTAGAAAGGCAAAAAGGCAGTTGTTTTATCGGTTTCTGCCACAACTGGAAAATTCTATATCTTTGCTTGATGAAAAAAACCTCCCAAATTACTAAGGAAAAGACTGAATATACTGTAATAATGTATCTATCATTGCCAAGAGCAATCACAGCTAGTGTTCCTTGCGGTGCAGAATATAGCCAGCTGTTTCATTTTTATGTGTGTTTGCTTATTCTGTGCATTTGCAGGAGGAATTACCCGGAGAATGGTCCGTGCAGCTTCAGGTAGCTCAACATGTGTAGAGTTTGTAGGATCAGATCCGGCCTATGATGACAACCAGTTCATACCTCTGCCTATAAGTAAAGGTACAAACAACCCCCAAACATGACTGCTTTACAGCTCAAGAGCTACAAATGTATGTTAACATTTGCAACTTCCCTTATGTTTTAAAGCTAGGACTCACAATGTGAAAAAGAGCAATACAGATGTTTCTTTCAAACAGGAGGACTCATTCTCATCCATGGCGAAGTTGTCCATAAGAGTGAACTCAACAGCTCAGAGTCTTCTCGCCACGCATTCACCTTCCACGTGATGGAAGCCAAAGACACCAGCTGGAGCAAAGAGAACTGGTAAGGTCACCATCCCAACAAGCAGCTAACAAAACTAAAGCTTTATCAATGCAACAGCCAGGATGAACTTATTGGTGGTCTTGCATGTCATACAGTTTCTGTTGGCAGTATCTCAGCGATGATTTCACATCCACAGAACTGGAACAATCTCTGAAGTTTTGTTTTTACCTCTTCCTTACTTCCCAGGCTCCAGCCGACTCCCGAGCTGCCTTTTCCATCGCTCTACACTTGAAGCTAGTGATTGGCTTTTGGAGACAATAGCTGGTCAATATTCCTTTCTGATCATTCATTCCCTTTAGATACATCTTTCACTAGGTCAGCTCTTGAGATTAATTTATCCTCTTCTCAGAACAAGGACCCGTGACATAGCCAAATACCCCTGCATTAGACAAGTTTCTACTGCAGTATGAGCCCTATTATTGTAAGAATAGCCACCCAGTCCTTTTGGTAAGGAAACCTCTTCAGTGTTGAGAATAGACCATTAAAGACCACTGCACCTTGACTGGGACCAGTTAAGAAGTATTTCTTCTTGCAGACACTGTATTCCTTTCTGCTGAGGTCAAGAGCTTGTCTAGTGCAATCCTTTGCTGTGTCAATCCCAGCAATGCAGGTGAATTTGTCACGTAAAGACAGCTGACTTAGGTCTTTGTCCTATTACTTGAATAACAGTGATTAAAAATAATCTTATTGTGGGCAAAATGAAATAGGAAGTCTGCTTCTATAATCAGTCTTTTAAATATTTCTAGTAAACTGTAGCTGAGTGTTTGATCTCTGGGTGTGTTGATTTAAAAAAATCTACAGTTCTTAAAAGAATCATGTTGAAATTATGTGTTATTAACCAAAAACAACTCTGAAGAATCTTTTGACATCCTCAGGAAAAGCACTGAGGTGATAAATTGGTCAATGCTGCCTTTCAGCTGTTTGAGTCCTGGCTTGTTGCAGGGACAAATGCAGTATGAGATCCTGGGGCATATTTTGCTGGCCCAGAAAACTACTTTCACTGCACCCCAGTCTTATTCTCACTCAAGACACAGTCTCAGGGCTAGGACTGCAGGACACTATTGTGTGAGGTATCTTGGACTCCCACAGAACCATTCCCAAAAGCAAATAAAAGAAGTGTCAGAAGTTAACTTCATCCTGCAAACAAGAATCCTGGAATACAAATCTTCTGCTTGGATCCTTCTCAGGGGAAGGAAGAAGGCAGGGAGGGCATGTGCTTCTGTATTCTGTTCTAATGGATGCTTGGTGAACTGATGAGAAGATAGTCAGTACAGAAGTGTTTAATACATAAAAATGAATGGGCTTTTTTTTGGCCATAAAATGGGAGTTACAATTTTAATGAAATGGCTTTACTCGATTTGTTGATAGAAGCATTTTTATAAATGACGTGATGAAACACCTAGCTGAAAAAATGTGCAAAGTAGAAAACTTCAATAGCATTAGAAAAGTTTATTGACTTTAACAGGTTTTCTGCTTTTGTGATCAATGTGTGATCAGTTTTATCTGTGACTTGGCTTAGTTCTCCTCCCCCTATTGAGTATTATTCCAAATGAACTGAGAGATTAAAATCTTGCTAAAGATAAAACATTCTTCTTGTTGCGTAAACTGCCTGGGCTAAAACTACAACCCTCTTGTTAGTACTTCTTGGAATAAACAGTCACTTGCATTCTCAAACCTCCCCACCCACCCTGGCTAAACTCAGCTATTACAGCTACTGAGTCTGAAGTTGTGTTCGTGCGTTGCAGTGTATTAGTGTGGCTCTTGTTGATGGTGACTGGATACATTGGGACAGTTGTACTCACTCTGTGTGGCCAGCCTCATTATAACACATGCTTTAAATCATGCTCAGACAGAAGGAAGGAATTAACATATTCAGCAATACAAGACAGCAGGACTCAGTACAGCAAAACGTTTTGATTCTGACACAGTACAGAGGTGGCAGCACCTGAGAGGTTTGCTTATTCCTTATTTCTTTTGTTCCTCTAACTGACTTACCTCTTCTTCCTCTACTTCCTTTTCCTCTGGACATCCATAAGAAACCTACATTGGATTATTAAACACAGATGCTATTTTTGTCAGTCATGTCTGTGTTCTAGTGGGAACACAAAGCAGCTCATGCTGTTTTAAAGGCAATAAACCAAGATCAAACCAAAGTCTTTATTTAAAATTGGTCTTCTCATTTCTGTTTTTAACAGTTTTATCTGCTGTACCAGAAGCAGTGTTCAGATCAGCTTTGAGCTCTCATTACAGTGCATATTCTATTACCACTTTTCTTTAGAAAGGGAGAAGCCTCTGTTCCTGGAAGCACTTCTATGCCATAAACATTATCTGGAGGTAGAGAGGCAACAGAAGATTATCAATTTGGGTTGTGTAAGCTTCCAAAAGAGAAACTAAGCTCAGAGATGCCAAAATCCAGGCATAGCTGGAGTTCAGATTCACATTACTGTCAAAGATCAGAATAAGAGCCACAGCAATGATCTGAGCAAAAATAGCTGTCATTGTCCCTTCAAAGGTCTTCTTTGTTCCTGGCCATTTGATTTCCCCCATTGCACTGCCAAAAACAGAGGCAATAGTGTCTCCTACCCCTACTGCCAGCACCCCAGAGTAAGGGACTAGTGCTCCGGCCCCAGACAAGGTACCTTTAGGAGCACAAGCTCTGGGAAACAACCATACTGGGAGGGACATACCAAGGAGGAGATAAATATGAGTCAAGATCAGAGGTCCACTGTCTCTTTCATCCAAGAAGAGAGACAACAGATGCCTAAGGGTTTGGCCAAATGGTTTGATCCTGAAGTACCGAATATACTCTAAGAAGATAAACACTGCCAGACACAGTACTGCAGCAACGTAGAGAAGCTGGCGGTCATAAATCAGTCCAGGAACATAAGTAGCTACAACAATGAAATGGAAATATTTCCTGGTTATAGTCGAGGCCTGGTGTTTTTTAGATTCAGATGATCTCTTAGCATTCTGGTAGAAAACTATGCCACATGCTGAAGCAGCCAAAAAGGTCCAGTATACAAGAAGGTAAACTCTTGTCTGTGTCTGAAACAGAAACTGGAGTAGCCAGAACAAAGGGTTCCTCTGGATCAGTCGGTACAGCCAAGGCATGATGACCCCTAAGCCTAGCACTGCTGTCATCATGTGGAAAAACATGGAGGAGATCCATGTACCTGAATCCATGAAAATGAAGAGCACAGTGAAAAAAAGCCCAAGAAGAACAACTCCAACAACTGCTACCAGAAGGAAAAAGTCTATGGGATCACCTCTGCCCTCGACTACATTCAGTGAGCGTTTAATGAGCTGATTGAGAACAAAACTTATACCTCCAAGAACTAGCAATGCTTCTCCAGGTGTAAAACATCGAGGCAACAAGTACAGCAAGATCATACTGAGGTAGACAAAAATTAGCAGCACTTCTAGGACCTCTATCACTTCTGACACAGTCAAAGAGTGCTTCATGGTGTAGATAATTATACTGCCAGCAATACCAGTAAGTATGCAAGTGTTGGTTGGCACAGGTTTTGTGATGCCAACCGCTATTACTGACAGGAAGAGAGCAACCAGCATGCCAGTGGAAGCCACGACTATGCCAAAGCGTTCGAAGTACACAATGCCAGCAGCCTTGCACCTCTCCTTCATCACTATCCCCAGCAAGGGGATGACCATGCTAGCTGGTAGGAGGCCACTGTTTGCTGCCGTACGGAACTGGAATACAGCCCCACCCAGCTGGAGCAGACGGTCCCATTTGAACTGGACATAAAAAGCCTGGATGGCGAGAGCGATGGCGCACCAGGAATACCGGTCCCACACCACTGCGTGCACAAAGAGAATAATGACGAACACGATCAGGGATTCCACCAGCACTGGCTTCTTTAACATGATTCCAGTCCAACGTGGCTCAAGCTGTCAAAATCTTCCTCAGGAGTCCCGATCTGTTCAGTTGTTGTCCATTAGGAAGAATTCCTTTTCATGTTACTGCAATCCCTATCAACAATAAAAAGCACACAATTGAAGAAATTACTAGAAAAAACAAAAGCTTTTGCACAGCTGTTTTGTTCTTAGCTGTCCATTTAAATTGAGCTGCTGTGTCAACTGTCAACACAGATGAAGAAAGAAAAAGCCAGTGAGGTAATGGCTCAACCAGAACTGGTTATCTGCCCCCAAACCCAGAGAAGTCAGCCTAAAGTGACAGAAATGAACCACTGAATGCTGGGCTATTCAGATAGTTTGAAATGTTTCTGTTGCAGTGTCTCTGAATTGCACTGTGAAGCCATAACCATACTCAGAAGGCTTCATTATGACAGTGTGAATCTGAAATATAGTTAAAAGTAAATTAAGGTAATTTTAGAACCTAATTTTGTATGTACTTTTGCCAGTACTTTTACAGAATGTTCTTCCTTTTATTAAGTATTTCTCTTTCCACTGCTGTGCAAAAACTCCTGTGTACTTCTTCTTCTGCTACTGGTGTTATGGTTGAACAATTCCACTACTGCAGCAGGTGTTTTATCATGCTGCATGGTATTTACAATAGAAGTTAGAAAAGAAAACATCACAGTCATGAAAAGAAAAATCATTGTCAAAGGGCATACTTTATCTAACTTTGATCTGTTACCAGAACTGTCAAGATAAGTGAAGTCAGAGATTAGCTCCTTCATGGAAGGCTAGAAGTTTATTTGAAGTTCTTGTGTGGGTTTCATTCAGTGTTGAATGGGGTCACCAGCTCATAAATCTGATCTGAGAGATTTTAGAAGTACTATTACTGGGTAACTGTTAAAGTTTGCACTGTCAGACAGTGTGGGTCTGGAGTGTTTGGTTATTTATGACTTTGTACTGAAAACTCTAAATTATTAATAGATGGCTTTCTGGCATCCTCATGTGTATAGCCTGAAATACTTGCTTGCCAAACGACTTCATTATGTTTACTGTTGCTAGGCAGCTAGATCAGGCCAAGTGTAATCTTTCTGCCATCACAATTCATTTTTAAACAGCAAGAGAGAAGATTTCATCATATAATTAATGGCAATAGGCTATGGCAATATCTACTGACAACCAATAATGGATTTTGGGTCCCAGTTGTCATTTCTGAGCCCAGGGGAGGGAGAAGCTTAAGGGTTATTTGAGAAGAAGCAGGGTAAATACTACATGCCAGCCAGTCTGACAAAGATCTCCCACTCAGTCTGGCAACTTTAAGTTGCAATCCAGCTCTTGCATCAATAATGATACATGACAGCTTCCCCCAGCAGGCACCCTGCCAGCTCGGCTATAAGACAAGGATGAATTTCACTATACAAAACGCAGGTCTCCTCTTCTAATGCAGCAGGTTTAAAAGCTGCTGACCTGCGAGTTTGCAACACGATGTATTTCACTGCTGAATTATTTCATTTACCTGTTGCAGGTCTCTCCTTCACCCCCTCCTTAGGTAGCATGAAGCTCCTCAGCACTTCCACGCTCAGACATCGAATGGGACTCACTACCCCAGTTTCAAGCCGGATCAAGCGTTTTCTGCCTGTTCCGTTATTCGCATCCTGGCTGCAACGGGCACTGACGTGATCCCAAACGCCCAGCAGCCTCTCCCCTCGCTGCAGCACTTGCCTCCTCCCTTTCTTCCCTATGTCCTTCCTCTCCTCCCTGTATCCGCCGCAGCGCCGCGATCTCCCTTTGCCCTGTCCTTCCGCGCCGCCCTCCTCCTCTCCCCCCCAGCCGCAGCATCCGCAACCCAGCCTTCGCCGCTAAGAAGCCGCGGCGGGGCACAGCAGGGACGGCGG